TATTTAAAACATTTCACATTCTCCAGTTGTTTTTGGTCTATCTTTATTGTGACTGGGGTTGGTTGCCTCGAAATTTTCATTACTTTTGTTTTCTCCACATTCATTTCCATGCCATAGCACCTTTCAATTTTAATTAGTCTATCAATCATGCCCTGTAGCACAATTTCTTCCTTAGCCATTAACACAAGGTCAACTGCATATTTCACAGCTTGAATAATTTGCCCTCCTAATTTGAAGTCTCCGAGCCCATCCAGAGCTTCCTTGGTAAGGCATTCGCTGTACAAGTTGCACGTACTCAAAAAATTCCTTTGGCTGAACTGATCCTAAGGTTTGACAGCTGTGATGATCAAAATTATAATTAGTGTGAAAACTTACATCTTAGAAAATCTTTATCTTCATGAATTTTATTTAGCAAGAAACTTGCGTATTTGATTCTCCTGAGAGAGTTAGTGACTTTGATTTTGTACACTAATTTAATCTGATGTGTGGCAGATTCTTTCAGACACCGCACTCCCTACATCATGACTTTGTGGGATGTTGTTTCTGGTAGCATGGCGAGACAACCACATAAATTTCTGTAACAGATATTTATGATGAGCAGGCAAGCAGAGTGTATGGTAAGAGGTGAGGTATTGTAGGGCCCTGTAAAGGGCCATAACCCTGAGGAAGGGTGCGCCAGATGAATGCTGGCGAACCTCCCGCTGCAGTGGGGTGGCTCGTGCTAGAACATTGATCTTCCTTGTGTCAGCAGCCAGGTGATTGAGAATTGGCTGTAGGGCGGTAAGCACTGGCAGTAGACTTCCCAATGGGTCTAGGTGACTGCTAGCAGAGTCGGCTGAAGGTTTGGCTGCTAGGACTCTCGCTGTTGCTCTGTTCACTTCAGATGACCTGTCTTGAGGTAAAAGTAACTCTGACTGACTGACTAGTGAGTCGGAGGTCCGCACCTTTATTTGCTGTCACTAGCGACGTCCAACCCAATGGGTGTTGGAGCTGCCAGGATGGGCTAGCATTGTGGTAGACACCCACAACTTCTTGGTTGCTACCTGTATCTCTCCCACCCTACATTCTACCCTATATCCATGTATACCATCCTCTACCATATTAATTTATTTTTCATATTCCTTCCTAGTTTCTTATAGAGTTCCTGATAATATTTCAACTACTCATTTCCCAATTATTACTTAAACTATTTTTTTTTGTCTTGATTCTTCTGGATTTTCTGTAAAGTCATCCATACCCCTCATGACTGATCGCACCTAAAACTGTCTTCCAGCATTTTATCCCAAGCCTCATTTTTTGTATTTATCACTACACCCAGTCGTTCAGAGAACTCTTCATATGTGGGTTTATATTTTTTCTTTATTTTTTCACACATGCTTCTGGTCCTGCTTTGTGTACTTTTGATATAAAACAATCACTAGTCTAACACACACTGAGAAATCCCTTCATTTGTTACATAAGCTTTAGCACTATTGATAGCCCCTGCTTTCTTTCATATTTTTTTCAAACCTTGCATATTACTGAAGAAAACACTATGCCCGCATTTAATGCCACCTGCCACAATAAACCATCTCTGTTATATAGTCTGCTATACTTCGCACATTCACATCAAAATATTATCAGTACTCAGAGAACAAACACAATAACACTGAAATAAGCCACTGCTCACTTGTTTGTGACTGACTACATAACTTATGCACATGCATCCTATTAACGCTTGACAATTTGTGGCTGTGGGAACCCAAAGATGCACAAAGAGAGTGATCTTACAAAACTTTTATACTCGTATGTACAGGCAGAGACATTTTATTACTTTGCTTTGTACAGTATGATTATGTTCACTACACAGAAAATTCTGGTTATGTTGCCAGGCATTGAAATGGAGTCTAGTAGGAGCAAATTTTTTATGAATATGGAGTGAGGATTGAGAGAACTAACGAGGCAGCAAGGCCTGTCTAAGGAAGACACTGGAAATCACAAGAGATGGCATCTGGGTATGAGGAACCCTTAAAGGGAATAAACCTCTGAGGAAGAGGAGGACACGAAGGATATTTTGATGACTGATGCGTATGTGTATATATGTATATATGCTGCATGACCACACTCAGAGTTTTGATATTATAAATGCAGGTGTGGATATTTTATGTTTTCTTACATGAAAAATTTTTAATAAATATATGTTGGATTTGAGGTTTGCAAAGTGGTAATTATCAATAATATGGTCTGAGTTGTAACAATGTGCAGTTTGGATGGAACCTGACATTTCGCTTCCATCTTCTGGGCCAAAAATTAAGCCAATCGCAAAAGCAGCAAACGCAGACTGCAAGCTGAGCTCGAGCTCAAGCTCAGGTTGTGGGGCAACACACCCTAGAAGACTACTCTTCGAATCATATTTCAGCTGTGATATTAACGTTACTAGTAACCAGTGTGATGTGCTGATGGCAATTTACCAGTTTTATAATGCTGATTGCAACACAACTGGATAGCTGAATACTCACGTTCAATCTTGAGCACGATTATACGTTCCAGCATATTGCTAATCGTAGGACTCAACTGGAATGCACGACATGTGTATTCCCCTTTGTCTTCCAGTGTCACATTGTTAATATATAGGCCATCTGCAACCACTTTGTATTTAGGGCCTGTAACATTAATTACATTTTAAATTTCTTGTATGAAGTTACAATAACTTTTTGTGGTGTACGTTCTGATACAGACTGCTGTTGTTCAGCTGGTGGAAAGATCTTGTGTCTAACCCACCATGCAATAATAATGAACCTCTTTCCCAGGTACAGTGATTTTTGTTCCTTATAATGAGCCTAATAAAGAACACCAATAGGTGTTATGAAATCTGTTCCACATTCTTGCCTATATATATGGCTGTTGAAGTGATGTGTAAGTATTTAGGCTGAAATTGGGGTGTAACTCAAACCCTCATTCTGCCTTTTTAATAAATAATTTGGATGCCTTTCCTTTTCTAAAGCTCTGGTTGCTATAAACTGTGATATTGATAGGCAAGCAACCATATTCCAGGAAAATAATTGGTATTTTCATAGAACTGTACATGTTTATAATTGTTTTCAAATGATTTCTAGGCATGTACTTCTTTTTAATTTTATTTGATGAAAACTTTGCTTATCAACAATATGATTTATATGTAAATGAAAAACTTGAATGTGGGAATGTTTTTCTAATAAAATATTTGAAATGAATAACTGAAAATTGGTAACTAATAGAGAAAGCTAGTTCCTAAAGCATGTTGAACATCACTTTGTCTTGTACTGCTATTGTTCACCATCGGAAGCCATTATAATGCACATGAGACTGCAAAAATTACCCTTTACAGCACAATCATTCTAATATGCATCATCTGCTTTAACACTAAAAAGATTTTGCCAACAGATTGCAGTTATGTGTATGAAATGATTCTCACAACAAACAGAGGTTATTTCCATATACAGCATTAACCAGTTTGCCTTTACAATCGAGTGATGTTTCTGCTGGGGTAGAAACAGAATTTTTAAATATTATTTAGGATATTTAACCATCTTCCTATAAATATAAAATCGTTATCATATAAAATTGAATTGTTTAAACCAGCATTAAAGAGATATCTTTGTTCGTGGTCATTTTATTCATTAGAGGAGTATTTTAATCAAAATAATTTGTAAATACTGATTGGATGTAAATGGGATTAACTGTATGTTATATTTTTTAATTATGTTTATTACTTAGTATTATGTGATGTTGTTTTATGATTAATGTTTAATGATTGTGATGAATGAACTTGGAGTAGTAAGAAGTAAAAGGTTGTATTTCTAACAGTGTATGAATCTATGTTGTTGTGATATGGCTTGATTTAATGTTACACCATGTATCTTTTTATGTTTTGTATGAGATTGTATAAGTTTGACTAGCTCTATGTCCTATGGGTGCTAAAGCCCCTGTACAGGATTTGTGGAGTTATTTAATAACAATAAACAATAAACGGATAAAGAATGAAATGAAATGCAGGGCTTACCTTCTGGTACTTTTCCATTTACGGTCCACTTAATAATTGGCTCAGGGTCACCCTCTGCATCACAACGCACAACCACACTTTGGTACAAGGATGCAGTTTGCCGGGTTACAGTGTCCACAAACTTGATAGGTTCTGATTTCACAAACAGGAGAAGAAGAACAAATTCTGTCAGATAAAAATAAGTTCTTTTCTTAGGATAAAGATAAAGCTATTCCTGTAACAGGTCAGGCAGGCCCATAGGGTTGTGAGACGTTGAGGCGCCAACATTTTCTGGACAATTGGCTCACAGATGGTGGTGAGATTGTCAGTCTTATGCACCAGCCACCCTTCACCCCCAGGAAGATTCCTGGTACTCATCTCTGTTGGAGGCTGAGTTGACCCCAAGGCAATATTAAATTCATATAATTAAGATTTGAGGTTCTTACAGCAGTGAAGACTGATACTGTAGTCTTCTGGTTCATAACACTGTGTAGTCTGGTAGGTGGTTAGCAATATTCCAAAATAAATATGCTACTTCTATCTTAGCATAGCCTACATGCTAGACCATATGGCATCATAACCCAGAGAACCAGGATACAGATCAGGAAATGAACACTGATTATGGATGCCACTGTTTATTATTTGTTCTAGGTTTTCTGGGAATTCAATTTATGGTTATATTGCAAGAAGGTGAAAGTACAAAAATAGGAAGGCCAGGGTAATCAAATTAATAAAGTTACTGATTTTCTGCATATTATTCATCATCCTGCTTTTTTATTTAAAACAATGTTTTGGAGACTTCACTCTGCCTCCATCTACAGGTAAAAAGCCTATTGAACTGATAGAACTGGTCCCTATATCTGGACCATATCCATCAGAACGGGAATACGGACTAGCGCCATAGATTGTGCCCAACTGAATAAACTGTTTACCTGAGGAAGGAGGCAGAGTGGAGTCTATGAAATGTTGTTTTAAATAAAAAAAATAGGATCATGGATAATGTACATGAAGGCAATGAGTGTACTGATATACCATCATCACAAACTTTTACATCATAATATAATTAATTCATAATTTTAATTAATTTGTCATAAACTTGACTTAGAGTGCAATAAGGGAATAAGGGAAAAGTTATGTAATAGTGTTGGCCCTTATGGCACATGCAAAGTGGGGACACACACGCAGCAGATTCTGTTGCCCTCACCGATAGAAATGTGACAGTGATGGTGGTCAAATGGACCTGCAGCTTAACCTGAACCCTGACCCATGGAGGGGTTCATAGCCTTCATGTTTGTGAAGTTCTGACTTTGAAGGAGGTGAAGTTATCAATCTGTGAGCAGGAAAATCCACACACAGATCTGAGCGGGAACTAGACTCACAACCTTCTGAAGGAGACACAGGAACTTACTTCTACTCCACCAGTTTTCCTTCATCATAAGCTATTTATTTTGCAAGAAGTCTTTTAAGGTACAGTACTCTTCCTATAGAATGGCAAGCCAATGAAATACAGATTTTAATTTGTGCATGTTCAGGTGATCAATGTCATGAACCAGAATTCTCACTATTAAATTCTGAACACAGACTCTCAGACTCCAACTCATCAAGGAGTCTACAGCACACCTCAAGGTGATCTGTAGGACCCAAGAGACCTGTTCAGGGAATGGGGCATACGACAAGAGGATGGATGGTTGGGGTTTGATTCCCAGTAGTTACAACATTCTTTCTTTTTCCCTCAACATGACCCAAGTCCAGCCAGGCTCCTACACAATGCAGATCAGTAGCTCTGTCACATGCTCCTGCAATTCCTCCACAATAGGTTGCTTGGTGTCAGAGACAGACGTACACAGGGCGTTCAGAGCACAGCTGGCATAGCTTAGTTTTCTGACACACATATTTCCAGCCCAACAATTTCTTTTCTTCTTGTGACGGAAAGAATGCCTGAGATGTTTCATTTCAATGCAGTGTATTTGGCTATTATAAGGTAGGTGCACACAAATGTGAAGGCAGCCACGGAAAGATGCTCCCTGGATGGTGGAGAGGACGGGGCTCAAGCCTTCCAACCTTCTGCCTGCTCTTTTGTGTCTGCTTGTCACCCACCAGCATATTCCAACAAGCCAAAAGCGCAGGTCGCTAGCAAAAGTTATCATTGTCAACATTCAACAAGTATTATGTTTTTGGACATTATCCATCAACTTGTCTAATTATTAAAAAAAACCGTCCTGTTTCTTTTTCAAAAGACAACGTTTTGGAGACTGGATTCTGTCCCTGTGCTCAGGTGGAACCTACTCAGTTGGGTCCAAGGGACAGAGATAGCCCCCCCCCTCCAGACAAGACATTCAAGCGAGCAGAGTGGCCAGTGACTGCAGGGGAATATAGGAAAGTAAGCTGGAGGAGGACCGATCCATGGGATATCTTTCCTTTGATTCAGTACAGTCTGAGGAAACTTACTCATGACTGTTAGCCTGAAGCTGGCCTGGACCTCCTTGCTGTCCACCACTGCCTTGCAGGTGTAGATTCCTTTGTCCTGGGTGTCTATATTCTCAAACACGAGCGCTATTCCAGGGTGTGCTCCATTAGCCTCTATGTGTATTCTGCAAATGGAAAATTGTGCTGCTTGCATTTAAACATTTACCAGGATGAGTGTGGTGTTTGAGGAAGCCCTTAGCATTCCACATGTGTAAACCTGAACGTTTTTAGTCCACAGATATACTTGGGAACGGTGTGAGACTGGCAGAGACTGATTGACGTAGGATGGGATGTTTTGAAACACGAAATGAAGAAAACTGGTACGGTCCTCATCTTATAAAAATGACACACAGAGGTGCATTCTTTCCAATCTGAGCATTACAAATCAAACTTAAAATTGTTTTACTTAGAGGAACTATAACACAGTAATCTTTTTGCCACTTGACGAATTTTTATAACACTGATTTGTCTCCACAGCAAAGATAATCCACGTGGGACTGGCTACGGACATGGCTGTGCATTGGAAGTGAACAGTATGTCACACTTGATAGTTCTATATCTCACTGAGTGTTCACTTCACTTTGGCGGATTGTACATCCAACATAGTTTATGTGGTAATATAAATTTCCTGTCAGTTTCTTTCTCATCCTGAACACAACAGAGAACACACAAGGATATTATGAAATTTACTCCGTACTTTTGACAATATCCACGGCAGTTATGGGCTGTTCAAGCGATGTGCAGATATTGAGGGCAGAGTTCTTGGATGAGATTCCAATAATCATTCAATATATATATATATATATATATAAAGAGTGTTCCAGGAGGAAAGGTCAATATTCTGGGAGGTCATAGTATCGGCCATTCAAGGCAAGAAAGCGTATATGTACATGTGTGCTATTCCTAACGGTTTCCGAGATAGAGCTATTTCACTGCAGAGTTCACTGTACACTGTACAGGTGAGCAACTGTATTATACTACAAAGACAAAACAACTCTGTCCAGTGTGACTATTGAAGTTTTTACCGAAACATGTAAGGGTGCTAAGTTTTCAGGTGGTAAAAACTTCAATAGTCACACTGGACGGAGTTGTTTTGTCTTTGTAATTGTTAGTGTGACGGACAAGAATGAAACAAATAAAAAAATGTATTATACTATGTAAACTGTACCAACTTTGTCACTTGAACAATAAATACCGGTATTAGAAGCAGTACGTAATGTCTCTTTCTTATCAACAGTTCTGGAACTGTACAGTGAAATAGCTGTATCTCGGAAACCGTTCAGAACAAGACTCATGTATATATACACTTTTTGCTGTGACCTGCCAGAATATTGACCTTTCCTCCTGGGACATTCTGTATATAAATTAATTTCTTGGCATGACAACGCAACAGACTGGTGTGCACGTACTGGGTAGGTGGTCTGTTCTAATTTGTACTGGGACACCGACGATCCTGATGGAGATTTTTATGGTTTTCTCAGTCCTTCCAGGAACATGATGGGATAATGCTTCGATCAAATCACAACTGCTCCCGTCCAAATACTTTCCAATCCATGATTTATTACAAACAGGAGTGCTATTTTTTCATTAAAGTTTTACTTAATATGCCGAGAGTTTATGAAATCAATGTGCATATATAACGTTTAATAAACTTGGATCCATATAAGATGGAACGTGGGTGGTGCGATTATGTTGAAGAAACAGTCATGAAAATCAGTGGTCATCTGGCTATGGGGCCGCAAGTGGGCCTCAGGAACTTACGAGTATTAACTGACTCAGTAGCTGTATGTAGTCCTTCTTAAAAAACTAGCAGTAGCTCAGTTGCTCAAGGAATTCCCGCATTTCATGCAACTTGAATGTTCGCTAAGTATCCACAAGAGCGCAGCACCGCCCATCAGGAAGTAACAACGTCTAGACATACCTGCCCTTGGTCGCAGTAACTTCCGTTGAATTTCTCATCCATTTCATGCGAACTCCCCGCGGGCCTGTACATGAGACGAAATGTGAGCTCGACACGTATTTTTCGACGTCTGAATGAGAAGGCGTCAGTTTGACGTCAGCACTCCCCGTCTTCTGGCTGACAACGCCACCTGCAACACAGAATCAACGTGAGGAAGGCTTAACTGTGCACACTGCTGCTTTCTCTGGGGAGCAGTTCCTTGCAAACTGACTGCTTAGCGATTTGGCAAGGGACATTGCTGCAGTAATATTGTGCTTAATAACAGGCGCGTCACGCAGAAGGAATTATAAATGGAAAACATTCAAACAATTCACATTCAACACTATAGTCTTCAGTGACGGATATTCATCCATACTACCCAGAAGTCATAACTACAGAGCTTGTACTAAATGAAAAAGAAACACCCATCAGTATTTTATATTTAACGGTTCACTGTCATAGGGATTGTAATACCGCATAAACGACTTCATATACGCCTGAAAGTCGCATTGCAATGGACAAAACACTGCATCGAAAGAACTGAACAAACTTGTTTTCAAAGTATTTTGAAGGATCAGTAAATTATTACGCGCATAGCTATGGACGGGACTCGAACACATGGCTCTCCCGCTGCTGCCGCTGCGTGGGTCACGTGCAGGTATGTTACGGTACATATACCAAAGTGTCTGTGTACGTTCAAGTGAAGTATCACCGATCTTCTAGCATCTCTGGGAAAACCTGTTACTGATTCCAGAATTCTGGAGTTCGTGGAGACCTGAGGAAAATATGTATTCCACATTGCAAACGTCCCTTCCAGTTACTGAGTTCAACATGAAATGCAACATGTAAACATATCATCAGGATTCTTATTTTGCCTGGGATTAGGAATAGCTGAGAAACTATCAGATTTCCTAACAAAAATCTCGATCCGTTGCACTACCTAAGACTTACGTGAATACTAATCCTGTAAATTGTAATCTGTTTAATATGAAAACATCATAAATACGCCTTCATACATTCGGATCATTGCTATCCGAGATGAGTAAAGAAGTATTTACGTATTTTCCATTAATCCTTTAGAGCCCCGTGGTTATAACATTGCGTACTCATATTCTGCCCACAGAGTGCATCTGTGTGTTCCGCATGGTTCTCACAGTAAACAGCGACTGTTTCCCCAAACAGCATTAACCGGTTGGGCTGTGTAGCGGAGACGTAACGTGTTTCCCGTGAGATATGAACTGGATTCTTATATATAATTTAGAAGAAATCAGGTTGGAAAAGTCTCGAAAGTGAAACAGTAGAATATGGTTATGAGTCCCGCGGGACTGGGGCCCGGGTATGACTGCACTGGCGAAGACCAGCAGGAATTGTAAACGACAGACCCGTCCTCTAGTCAGAGAGGGCGTCCCATACCAACAAGCCCTCAACAGTCTGACAGCAATAAAAACCTTCTCGGAAGCTCCAGATGGGTGCTTGACACCAAGAGAGAGTGGCCGACTGACCGTTGGTCATAACGCAACTTTGACTTTGACTTCAATTAGTCACTACAAAAGGCAGAATTTCCAATAACACGCTGTATGTACGATACGTACACTTGACGAAAAGCCAAGCATATTCATAGGAAACAGACCCATCTTCTCGTCAGAGAGGATGTTACATAAGGACTATGACCACAAGAGTTCAGCTGAAAAATATCTCTGGCCGTGATCCTCAAGTGCCTTGACGCCAAGTCTAAATTACTGGCGGTTAACCGTCAGTCATAAAGTGAGTCTGACTTTGATTTTGAGTTGTTGAGAGATGAAGTTGTGAGAACTGAGAAGCTGGTAGCCGAGACACAGGGACAGTTCGGAATCCCAGAGAAAGAGGAGCGTCCGACGTTGAAAGCCGCTACCAAGCAACGGCTAATGAAGACTGAGAAGATTTTGTTTGTGTTGTAGGTACAGAGATATTTGAAATGTGTAACTCAGTGAGTCTGCCGCGGCTATTTGTAGTTGTTACCCCGTCTATATTCACACTCATCATGTGAAAATATGAACAGCAATGATCTGCTAACTGTTTTAGTTACGAAAGAAATTTGTAACCTCTGTCCGCAGCAGATGCCGGTTTGTTGCCAACATAGGACAACCAAAACGAGGGCTATAAATCAGTCATGTCTCTCCGCGCAACGCTGGTTCAGTTTAAGACAGCAAGCCATACATCAGCGTCCTGGCTGTCACAGCCTGACAGCAGGCAAACCGCCCGGCATGTCCCCTGCATGTCTGTAACCCGTGCAGAACCTTCGTCACTTCACAAGTGACATTCGGTGGGCAAATTGAAATCTAATATACTTAAAAGTATTAAAGCAGTTCTCCTTCAGAATATTGCATTTTAGGGTTCCCAGTGCGCAGTCGCAGTCCTACTGCTTTGTATTTCAAGCAAGAACAAGGTGGCCTACCTAGAAGGAGTATTAAGTCAGTCTAGTGAGTCAGCCTTACCTGCTGCTCTGGTAACATTGGACTCGCGGTTTTCACAACTTCAGACTTTTAATCCCAGTGTTTATTGTATGTACCACTTCGTTAACAACAGAAATTTCTACATCATGCACTTGTGAGCCTGTTTCGGGTGGCTCTCGCAATGAACAATGATTACTTCCGTATGCTGCGTTAACCGGCTGGACTTCGTAACCTCTTGTGTGAGACAGGAACTAATTCTTAAATACTGTCATGTGGTAGAGTGATTATAAGAAGGATTTATTGAACTGTTACAGGTCTGCGACTATAAGTAACTATAACCGTTTCACTAATTCACACACTTTAAAGTTCACTAGAGCAGACCCTTAAGTCCTCTAATTCTGCTGTGACTTCACTAGCCGTTGCTGGATAGTGGCTTCCAAAGGCGGATGTTCCCATTCCTCTGATTCCAGAACTGTCCCCGTGCCTCAGCTACAGAAACTCTCGACTAACTCCACTCCACTGACTGACAATTCCTCACTAACTTTCCTGCTTAAAACATCTCGGCACGGACTGCGTAGAAAACACCGCTTGCCATAATTTTGATATCCAATTGTTGCCGTGGAAACATGATTGTTTACGAAGCCGCTACTCAGTAACGGCTGTACCTGCTGGCTTCACAGTCTTTGCCTTGAGCAAATATACCAGAATATTATTTAAATGAACTATGCATTTCAAGATGTTAGCATCATTTTCTAGCAAAAGTAAAAGGTTTTAGGTGATTGTCAGATGTGAAAGAAGCTTCACCGTGTCTTAAAAACGGAAGACGGAGGAGTCACGCTACAGGCAACTTAGTTAGTAGAATGTTCAGATGCTCCAAACAAAAGCTGGAGAATTCCAGACCTCTGTGCGGTGTCAATGCATGACGCATCGGTCTCAGGGCAGTCAAAATGCAATGGAAGATCTGGCAACGTCAGAAGTTTGGTAGCTATTTCAGCCTCTAAACTGCGACACTCTTTGTAACTAGCCAGCATACAGACCGTAGGTGAGATTGCAGCAGGCAGTTACCCCACATCATAATTACTACCACAGTGGAACAACGAAGCAACACACATACAGACATGTAGCAGTCACAGGGCCTTAAATAAGTCTTATAAGTTATAAATATCTTAATCTCTATTTCAATTATAATTTTAATTTTTATCTTCTAAATGACAAATTTTAACGGCATGTTTTAAACTAAATGTGAACTACATTTAATAAAGTGTATTTTGTAGCATACATATCTATACAAACACAGTATGAAATCATTTTGATTAATAATGCAATTCTTGTATTCTTATACTGGAGTTTAGAACCACGAAACGCTACGCTACAGAGACCTAAATCAGTTATGAACAGAAAAGTATTCCAAGTGCAGCAGTAACTGAGTTCCTTGGTTTAACTATTGATGATGTTTCATCTTGGTAACAGCATATAAATCTGATGATCAGTAGACTAACTTCTACATGTTATGTGCTGCGCAACATTAAATATATAGTAACCTTTCCAACACTAAGGCTAATCTACTTTGCCTATGTTCACTCTGTCATGAGTTATGGCATAATTTTCTGGGGTAACTCCTCTCATGCCAAGAAAGTGTTTGTCTTACAAAAGAAAATCATTAGAATCATAACAAACACTAAACCTAGGGATTCTTGTAGGAATATCTTCAAGCAATTGGAAATAATGACATTATATTCACTATATATATATATTCATTACTTCTCTTCATAATAAATAACAAACATATATTCAATTCCAATAATGAGATTCACGAATATGTAATTTGAACCCATGATGACTTACATGTTCCTGCTGTGAAAACAGCAAAATTTAATAATGGAACATACATAACAGGCATCAGAGTGTACAATCACCTCCCTCAGTCAATAAAGACCTTAGCCAATCATGTTAAAAGTTTTAAATCTACACTGAAGAGGTTCTTATGTCAACATTCTTTTTACTCAATGAATGAGTATTATCAGTATACTGAAGACAAGGATATATAGTCCATCTGCTATTTAAATTGTTAATTTAATTTCCATTCTGTATAAGAATTATTTTTAACAGCTAATACTAAATACAAGGTATTAATAATAGTATTTCATGAATTGTATATTTTAGACTGCTATCAAATTGTATATATTATGATTTAGTTTTTACAGCACGATTCTGACAATGATAACTGTTTACCTGCATTGGTTATTGCAGTACATATAGTAATCTGACATGTTCTACATCCTAGCCACATTGTGACCAGAGAGGATTCATGGAATTTTAAAATAAATGAATGAATGAATGAACGCCTGAAGATGACCCAAGAAAAGGAAGTGAAACATGTAGCGTTACCACCAACAGCTAATAAAACAAATATTGACAAAATAGTGTCTATTTGTCTCTTTCTTAACTATTGTTATGTAGACTGTCCCATTATATATGTTTCTTCTGACAGTTGTGTTGCCCTCATCAATACAGATCGTGCAGCGGCCATATTGTTTCCAAATTTTCCACAGAAATACTGCAACAGAATAAGCGTACCTTCGGAAAACTTACAGTGAGATTACAGTCACCACGGTCAGTGGCGCCACACTCATACTGAAGTAAATCTTTCCATGTAACAGGCCGTGGAGGCCCACAGGGTTGTGAGACGTCGAGGCTCCCACATTTTCTAGACAATCGG